AAGTAAGAGTGTTTTCACGGTATTGGGAGACTTTACATTAAATCAGCATTTATTTAAACCTCTATTCACAACAGGACAGAGAACCAATCAGAATAAAGCTCAGTACTCAAAACATCTTCGGCAGTTACATCCAGCCAACATGCACCAGGACGCAAAGCGCGTGTTTAAAACCACATTTCCTGACGTTACTCCTCTATTGAACCTTTTTATCAAACACATTTTAGTGACTAAAACTGACATAAACAGTCATGTCAAACGTGGCATTTACAGGACTGAATATAAGGGGTGGAGGTTGTCATGGTAACGTCACTCTGCAACCAGTGAACAGGAAGTGATCATTTCTGGATTGGAACGGTCCTTTCTTCTCAGGAAGGTTCCTCACTGAGCGAGAGGACCTGGAAGCAGTGGCGCAAAGAGCTGTTCTCTAATGCTGAGGAAAGGAGCTTCAATGCTTCCTTACTCAGTTCCTTATTAGGAACCGTCCTTTCCCAAAGGAGATCATTCCGTCCCACAATTAGATAATAATATATTATATATACATACTGCATATTTAAACAGTGACGCATCATTCAGCCGTCCGCGAGAAATAACGATTGTGATGGAGAAACGTCTGTTTTCCAGATCAGGTCAATCAGTGGTTAGGAATAGACGTTAGGAGGCCATTTTTGGACTATTTGAATCCAGCCCCTGTATACGTCTCTGGTAGAGACCTGCCAATCACAGTAGTCCCGCCCTAAAGCGTCCCCTGCTTTATGGTCTGTTTGACTCTAAATGGACATTAATTTACTAAATGAACATCATGTTGTGTTGAAGAAGCCCCCTGCTGGTCACTACAGAGAAGTAGAGTCATTTCCTCATAGACGTCTATGGGAGCAGAGGAGTCGCCCCCTGCTGGTCACTACAGAGAAGTAGAGTCATTTCCTCATAGACGTCTATGGGAGCAGAGGAGTCGCCCCCTGCTGGTCACTACAGAGAAGTAGAGTCATTTCCTCATAGACGTCTATGGGAGCAGAGGAGTCGCCCCCTGCTGGTCACTACAGAGAAGTAGAGTCATTTCCTCATAGACGTCTATGGGAGCAGAGGAGTCGCCCCCTGCTGGTCACTGCAGAGAAGTAGAGTCATTTCCTCATAGACGTCTATGGGAGCAGAGGAGTCGCCCCCTGCTGGTCACTACAGAGAATGCAGCTTTAACTCATGAAGCTTTGAAGAACCAGCGTTTTTCTCCGGACTTAAAATGATCACTTAAAAAGTGCTTAACTTAAGGTCATGCTAATTGGAGTTAGCTACTTCCCACGGAGGTCGATGGAATCAAGTTATCTGGCAAGTGTGAAGTCTCCCGATGTTGATGATGATCAATTAAAACCCGTCCAACCCATGACCATTTTGAAATGCCGACCCGAAGTCTGTCCAGTGCGTAATGAAACAGAAAATAAAGCCGTTTTTTAGCAAGACGTAAATTTCCAAACTATACCTTTATTATTTTGAGGATATTTAGTGACAAAAGCCAGAAAAGGTTTATTAGCTAATGTCATCAAATGAGGAGCGGCTTGTGTCACTGCTGTCCCACCCTTCATCAAGACAACGTCCATCCCACCAGTCAATTCTTCTTCCCACCGACGGCCATCTTCTCCCTCCGGATCGCCGACGCGGTCGTCTGGGACGAGTTGGACTTCCCCTCCAGGAGCTCCCGTTTCCTCGGTTCTACCTTCGCCGGCCTCTCCGCCTCCATCTTGTCCCGGGCAGCCTTCTCTCTGGCGAGCCGCGGCCTCTCCGTCCTCCCCTGCAGGAGTCCGTCCTTCTCCCGGGCCGCCTCGCTCTCCTTCTGCTCCCGGGAAACTCGTTCCCTCTCAAATCTGTCCTTCTCCGCCCTCTGCTTCTCCTGAGCGACTCGGGACCTTTCCTTAGCGATATGCTCGCTCTCCACCCTCTGCTTCTCTAGTCTCGCTCTTTCCTTAGCGACTCGTTCCTTCTCTAGTCTCGCTCTTTCCTTAGCGACTCGTTCCTTCTCTAGTCTCTCTCTTTCTCTAGCGACTCGTTCCTTCTCTAGTCTCTCTCTTTCCTTAGCGACTCGTTCCTTCTCTAGTCTCTCTCTTTCCTTAGCGACTCGTTCCTTCTCTAGTCTCTCTCTTTCTCTAGCGACTCGTTCCTTCTCTAGTCTTTCTCTTTCCTTAGCGACTCGTTCCTTCTCTAGTCTCTCTCTTTCTCTAGCGACTCGTTCCTTCTCTAGTCTCTCGGTTTCTCTAGCGACTCGTTCCTTCTCTAGTCTCTCGGTTTCTCTAGCGACTCGTTCCTTCTCTAGTCGCTCTCTTTCCTTAGCGACTCGTTCCTTCTCTAGTCGCTCTCTTTCCTTAGCGACTCGTTCCTTCTCTAGTCGCTCTCTTTCCTTAGCGACTCGTTCCTTCTCTAGTCTCTCTGTTTCTCTAGCGACTCGTTCCTTCTCTAGTCTCTCTCTTTCTCTAGCGACTCGTTCCTTCTCTAGTCTCTCTCTTTCTCTAGCGACTCGTTCCTTCTCTAGTCTCTCTCTTTCCTTAGCGACTCGTTCCTTCTCTAGTCTCTCGGTTTCTCTAGCGACTCGTTCCTTCTCTAGTCGCTCTCTTTCCTTAGCGACTCGTTCCTTCTCTAGTCTCTCTCTTTCCTTAGCGACTCGTTCCTTCTCTAGTCTCTCTCTTTCCTTAGCGACTCGTTCCTTCTCTAGTCTCTCTCTTTCTCTAGCGACTCGTTCCTTCTCTAGTCTCTCTCTTTCCTTAGCGACTCTTTCCTTCTCTAGTCTCTCTCTTTCCTTAGCGACTCTTTCCTTCTCTAGTCTCTCTCTTTCCTTAGCGACTCGTTCCTTCTCTAGTCGCTCTCTTTCCTTAGCGACTCGTTCCTTCTCTAGTCTCTCGGTTTCTCTAGCGACTCGTTCCTTCTCTAGTCTCTCGGTTTCTCTAGCGTCTCGTTCCTTCTCTAGTCTCTCGGTTTCTCTAGCGACTCGTTCCTTCTCAAGTCTTTCTTTTTCATCTCTCTCTTTAGTGATCTTCTCTTTCTCCTCCTCCATCCTCTCCTCTTGGGCCTTGTCCTCCTCCATCCTGTCCTTCTCAACCATCTCCTTCTCCATCCTCTCCTCTTGGGCCTTGTCCTCCTCCATCCTGTCCTTCTCAACCATCTCCTTCTCCATCCTCTCCTCTTGGGCCTTGTCGTCCTCCTCCATCCTGTCCTTCTCAACCATCTCCTTCTCCATCCTCTCCTCTTGGGCCTTGTCCTCCTCCATCCATTCCTTTCTCCTCCTGCTCTCCTCCCTAAGCTGCTCCTGCGCGGGCCTCCAGCATCCTCATCTTCAGCGCCCAGTCTTTCTCCGTCTCTCCTCTTCCTCGGCGAGGAAAGCCTTGATCTCGGCCAGGACGATGCGAGCGCACTCTCTCTTGGCCTCCATCTTTTGGTGGATGACCCTGAGCTCCTCCCTCAGGGCGGAGCGCACCGGGCTCCTCTGACCGGCGCTCTGAGGTGTCGGGTTCAAGGTGGAACTTTAAGCGGTCATGAATTACACGTGAACGTGACCCTCAAACCAAGCAGGAGATGTTAGCAGAGGATGCGACGTGCTGGTAAAGAATCTGCTCCGTTAGACGTAAAACATTAGAAACATTTTCTGTCTCGGTTTGGTAATAAAAGGGGTCAAATTCCACACGAGGACCAACATGGCACAGAACATGCATCGCTCGCTCAGAAGGTCATTCAGATGAACAAAAAGGGTCGAGCTTCAAAAGGTCACAACAGAGACGTCTTTCTCGTACCTCTGGTGGAGTTCTCTCCAGCAGAAGCCTCCTCCACTTCAGATGGAACATCAACAGATGGTCATGAGAAGAGATTAATGACACAAACCAACTGGCAGCGTCACACAGAGAAATCTACCTTCTGGGAGTTTAATCTCCTGATGGGATTCTTCTAACGTCTCGTCTTCTGGGACCAAACACATCATATATTTACATCCTGAAGACAAAGATCTGCCACATCATCACAGCAAGCAGGAGGCCGGAGATACCAAATAACAAATATATGGTTCATTTGCTGCTGCAAACAAAAAAATTGAAATTAGTTGATCCCTAATGACCCCCCTCCAAAATAAAAGACTTCCCTCCAAAATGTTTTTCCTCTTCAATTATCTAAGTATTTTCTGCCCCAAATAGATGTACATCGTAACGACAAAGCATGTTTTTGACAAAGTAGAATGTTAGTATTAAATTGTGAATGAATGTTTCTCCAAAAGTCCTGACGTGGCGAAGTGCTGTCCATTTACCAACGTTCAAATAAACGCCGATGGACCCTAAAGTCATTAGTGATGTCATCCGTCACACAACAGAACGTGCATTCACTTAGTAACACACTTTTAATAGCACAGTATTGCAGAGGCAAACGAGTAGGACATGACCAGCAGGCAGCGAAATTCAAGTTAAATATTTAAATACATTTTCTCCAAAGTCCAAATACGGACACTTCCTGTTCCTGTCATGTTGTTACAACTCATCGGTTGCCATGACGACGACAACAAGCGGAGACGATACAGAGGACGATAAGGACGTTCACTTCCTCTGCATCGAACACAGAAGAGGAAGTACTTCCACCGAGGGGAAGCTCCTTCAACGCAACTTCAACTTATTCGATCTATTTTTTTGGAATCTGAAAATATTCAACATGAAACGGTTTGATGGGTCGCGTAGAATCGAATGTTCACAAAGGTCACAGATGATGCGTTTGTAAGAGAAGAACATGCTTTTCCGGCCGGTTTTCAGAGCGTTAAGTCAAGCTCGAACAATCCAACACGACGAACGCAAACAAGCAGATCAGAGCTCACGTTTAGTACAGGCGAGAACCTAAAGGGTGTTAGAACCGCGTCAGCGGGGACTCTTCTTCACCTTCTTGTCCTCTAGACGGTTTGACAAAAGACGGGTCGGTTAGCCGTTAGCTTAGCATCAGAGCAGGAAACGCACAGACACACAAACAAGACACGCTTGGAGGTACCTTTTCTCAGCCGGTGAGCAGAAGCTCTTAAGTTCTTCTCATCTGAGCAAAACACAAGAGGAGCGTTCACAACAACAACAACAACAACAACAGGACGAGGAATGCTGTGGATGCGTTTACGTTGATCAGCACGACGCCATCAACGCACCACAAACCTAAAGGTCGACACACAGCAGAGTCCACGCGATCAGCAAAGGTTCAACAAACGCACAAACGCAGAGGAAAACACCGCTTTCAAATGTGACATTTACGACATTTCTTTCTCTCCGTTGACAAATTTAAAGTTTCATTTCATCTTAATCTTTTGACACAAAGAGAAATAAGAAAATGTGTCATGAGCCAGCAAAGGTTTTATATTGAAAGTCCAGTTGAGCTTCCTCTTTCATTTTCAGGACAGTTTGGCCCAGTTGGGCCCGGTTGGGCCCGGCACCGGGAACCAGAGCGTCGTCCTGCGGCTCCCAGTCCGATCCTCGCAGGCGGTACTGGGACCACATAGCCGAGCTACCGGCCCGGCTTCCCGGCCTCCAGGTTCTGGAGGTCCAGCGCGACCCCTTTGACCTCCTCGGCATCAGAGGGGGTCTCGCCGCCTCCTCCCTCCTCCTGCATCTGGGCTGTCGCCTCCTTCCCTTGCTCCTTCACCTCCTTATCCTCCTCCCCCTCGCCCCGCTCTACGGGCGAGGACACTACGTCATACAGGAAGGTGAAGAAGCCATAGATCCAATCAGAGCCCTCCTCTGCTAAAATATTAAGGACCTCCTCAAGCGACTCGGCGTTCGCACTACCGCCGCCATCTTTGGTCAAGCCTGACGAGAGAGAGAGAGAGAGGGAGGGAGGGAGGGAGGGGGGAGGGGGCGCAGACAGCATGGGAGCAGAGGCAGAGAGGAGATCAAGGGGGATGGAGAAAGTGGGGGAGGACGTGTGGAGGTGCAGAGAAGGCAAAGGGAGGAGGAGCCAAAGGAATGAGAGACAAAAGGAAACCAAAACCAAACAAGACAACAAAATAAAAGATGGCGAAGCGGGAGGAGAAAGAAAGCGATTAGAAGAAGTCAAAGAAGAAGAACAACATGAACCAAAGACAATCACAGCTTCCTGTCTCGGTCTCGTCAGGCTTCCTGCTTTGAGCTACAGAGGCGGCCATCTTGGATCAGAGTCTGCGGGCTCTTCAAACTTCCTCTATGATTCGTCCCACCCGACGGATGACGTCACCATGGGGGGTTCAATAGATTACGTTATCGATTGGGTTTTATATTAGTTTATTCTTTTACTTTGATGTAATAACTCCAGTAAGGACCAGCTGAAGAGGCAGCAACGGCAAACTGGACCCAAATAAACTATTTAGCTCCTAATTTCATCACAATAAACAGACCAAGTGAAGCTGAAATTACGTCATAATGCTTCATAGACGACGAGCAAACGTCCTTCAACGCGCTGGTTCTCTGAATGGAGTCTGGATCAATCAGTGCTAGGCTACGCTAACACTGTAGCATCATCACTCAGTAACGTCGCAGTAATAGAATAATTATAGATACTAGAATTATTATTAACGCTACTCTGAGCGTCTTTCCAACGTTCCTTCTCACGGGCCGAACGGCTTTAGTGCGCTTCACACCACAGAAGAAGAAGACGGCCGCAATCACGCCGGGACGAAAACAAAGAGGAATTTATAAAACGTGAACTTGCCGAGCAGAACTTTGGCGTCTTCAACGTCGAAGTCTCCGTCTCCATCGGTGTCATAGGCCGTCAGCTTGCCTGAGGGAGGAAGAGGAGGAAGAGGAGGGTATGTCTGCATTTCATCATATTCACTCACATTTCTTCTCTACATTTGAATAATTATTTTCTTGTCATTTAGAAACCTAAATAATAATAAAGCCGAATAATACGTCATGATAACGCTTCGGCTCTTTAACGCCACCAGACTCCTTTGGGAAAAAGACTCATTTAGCCTCTCGGGGCACAAGTTGCTGGTTCCACTGCTGTTAGTTCTGTGGTGTAATCGGGTAGTTTGGGTGGAATACTGGTGAGATACGACGCCTCATACTGATGCTTGTGTGAACATGATGAGCTCAAAGCTTTCAGCCCCGTTTATACTCAAGTATCTACATGAAACTTTCATTTGGTTTTAATGTCTCAAGGCGGTTAAATCGGTACTTCTTCCTGCAGCAGTTCGGTCGCCCCGTAGATGCGGGTTTTAAATCTCGACATCGTACCTTGCAGAACTTCTGAAAAGTTCATACGAAACTGCTTCGCTCTGGCTGCGTGCAGAGAAACGAGGAGAGAAGAAGAGACACAGCAGACGCGTTGAAGCAGCAACAAAGAAGCATGAAGAGAAATCAGGTGCACACGAGACGCACGGACACTTTCTGCCATTGTTACAACAACCGGCATGCGGAACATGATGCACTCTGTTGTCTTATTTCAGAATGACAATAACCACACAGCTGGAACTGTAGTCAGTGATTGTTGTTACGAGTGTATAGAATTATTCATCTATTAACATTTATTATCCAGATTCAAACATTTCCACTGGAGCTACAGTCGGTCTTTGTGCATTAAATCAAAATCACACAGGTCTGTGATGTACTTCTTAAGAACACAATAAACACACACAACACCAAGGACCACTAAGTGTAACAGGCGTGTTAGAGGGGAAACGCACACAGACACACGCTTCTCTGAAACAGGAAGTCCGTCGCTCATGAAGCAGCTCAGCAGAGACGACGGCTGAGACCACAGAGTGTGTGTGTGTGTGTCTGTGTGTGTGTCTGTGTGTGTGTGCGTGTGCGTGTGTGTGTGAGAGTGTGTGCGTCTGTCTGAGAGGAAGAGCTTATAAACCACATGAAGGCAGAGACGGTTCCTCTATGAAAACCAACATTCTGAAAACTAAGTTTGTGTGTGTGTGTGTGTGTGTGTGCGTTTGTGTGTGTGCGTTTGCGTGTGTAAAAACTGCAGCTCCAGCATCAAACACTCGGTTGAAATGGCGCTAAAGATGTTTCTGTAAAGAACGCGTGTCGCCGTGACGACGTGGCGTCTCTCCAGAGGTTATTATGTAAAAACAGACGGTGGCTCAAACATTTGATTTGTAGATCATTATGATTCCACACAAACAGAATTGCACTTAAAGTGAATATGATTTGAATCAAATGGTTATTCGAATGATTATTGTCACTAGAACGACGTCATCCATCAAAGCACCATGTCATAGTGATGTCATCGCACTCACCCATGACGCTGTCGTAGTCCACCACCTCGAAGTAGACCACGGCCACGGAGCTCCAGACCCCCAGCAGAGCCAGGACCACGAACCAGGTGAACATGGAGTACTTGGTTCCGGTTCCTCCTCCTCCTTCTCCTCCTCCTCGCTCTGAACTCTTTCCATTCTTGCTCTCCACCGCCGTCTTCCCCTCTGAGGAAATCAATTCCAACGTTGATTTAGAACAAAATCCAGAAGCTCACAGCTACAATTCATGTCCTGGTTAAAATCCCAAACCCTTTGAATCAAACTTTATTGACACACGCGTCCAGAGACGAGGCGTCAAGGCCTCCCAGGATTAGAGCGAGGGAGTCGACCCGATCCACAAAACCACAACAGCTGTTCATGCTGACGGACAGGAAGGCACGTTGCCGAGGGCAACAGCCATCATGGACTCTGACCTTTGACCTCACACGATGCTTCAGTGTGGACGAGGTCTTTTATCGCATGAAGAGATTTGTTGACAGTAGAGCAGCAGGAGAACCCTTCAAAAGTGTGTTGAGGAGCTTCTGGAGGGAAATGGTCTCGTCCTCAATGGTGGAGAAACCAAACAGAACAAATCTAAACCTAACCAAGACAAACCAAGCCAAACCTAACCATGCCAAGTGAAAGCAGACCAAATCAGGCTCCCAAACCTTTCCTACCCGTCTCCTGGACGATGGGCTGCACCTCCTCCTTCGTCTGCGAGGCCTCCTCCTCTTTTACACCTTTTAACCGATTCAAACCAGGTCAGAGATGATCCACACCACACCAGGTCAGACATGAACCACACCAAACCCGGTCAGAACCACACCAAACCATGTCAGACATGAACCACACCAAACCAGGTCAGACATGAACCACACCAAACCAGGTCAGACATGAACCACACCAAACCAGGTCAGACATGAACCACACCAAACCAGGTCAAACCATAATCCCACACGGGCCTACCTGTCTGTTGGACCACAGGCTCCGCCTCCTCCTGTATCAGCGGCTCCGCCTCCTCCCCATACACCTCCTCCTCAGTGTAAACCTCCTCCTCAGTGTACACCTCCTCCTCGGCACTGATCTCCTCTACGGGAGCTGGGGAGGGTTCGGGGGGGAAGGAGGTGCCATAGTGGCGGTAGCGCTGCATGGACCCACCCGGGTCTCACCAGAAACAAGCCTTCAGGTTTAAAAAGTGATCGACGAGGATCAAGAACCAGATAAGAACCACAGTAGGAACCGCAGGGAGGAGCTCAGAAGCTCTTCAGAAGAGTTCAAAGAAGTTAAATAAATCAAAGCGGTGAAGGACGACGACACAAAGCGACCGAGCCGAGCAGGAGACACATGAGCTCTGCCTCCTCCTCCTCTTCCTCCTCCTCCTCCTCCCAGTATCCAGACCCCGGTCCACACTATTATTAGAGCCAACAAACCCAGTGTGTGTGTGACCTTCACACGTCTGGATATCCAACACCAGTCGCTGTGTCGCGCTTCTTGTTGAAGTAACTGTACACCGGTTCCAACACAATACCTCACTCCTGATGAAGGAATACTACAGTACACGATACTTTACTTCATAGAGCGGAATGACTGAGATTTGTCTTTTCAGTTGCTGCTTTTAATTTAATTGACCGATCGATAACGTCAATAACGAGGTATTTGGGAAAAAAAATATTACAAAGCAACATAACTAATATTAAATAAAAAATAACAAAAGTACGTACAATGAGTTTGTCTTGGTGATGTGTGTTAATCAATAAGTAAATAAACCATAGTAGAATAAACAATGGTTATAATTACATTATAATTATTAATAAAAATAATAATTCATTTACAAATCCTAGAATCCTTTTTAATTTTAATGCCTCAGCATTAACAGAGAAACTGGACTTCAAGTAATATTTAAAAATGTAAATATCTGGTAAAACTATTTTAAAAGAAAAAAAACATAAGGTCCAGATTTGAGAAGTGTTTTTGATTCACATCTGTCATTCATATCCCGCCCTCATTATTACCTGTGACAGGTGACACTCACTATTTGCATGAGATTTGAATGAGTGACAGACAGGAAGGAAAGGGGGCGGAGTTAAAGAGCCGTCTGTCCTGTAAAGAGTAACAGGGTGTACTGATATTACACTCAAGTACTAATACTATACTGTTAAAATACTCAAGTAAAAGACATGCATTCAAAATCCCATCTATTGATGTATTCAGATTACTCCATTGATGTATTCAGATTACTCCTATTGATGTATTCAGATTCCTCCATTTGATGTATTCAGATTCCTCCATTTGATGTATTCAGATTACTCCATTTGGTGTATTCAGATTACTCTATTGGTGTATTCAGATTACTCTATTGGTGTATTCAGATTACTCCTATTGGTGTATTCAGATTACTCCTATTGGTGTATTCAGATTACTCCTATTGGTGTATTCAGATTACTCCTATTGGTGTATTCAGATTACTCCATTGGTGTATTCAGATTACTCCATTGGTGTATTCAGATTACTCCATTGGTGTATTCATATTACTCCATTGGTGTATTCAGATTACTCCATTGGTGTATTCAGATTACTCCATTGGTGTATTCAGATTACTCCTATTGATGTATTCAGATTACTCTATTGGTGTATTCAGATTACTCTATTGGTGTATTCAGATTACTCTATTGATGTATTCAGATTACTCTATTGATGTATTCAGATTACTCTATTGGTGTATTCAGATTACTCTATTGATGTATTCAGATTACTCCTATCTATGTATTCAGATTACTCCTATTGATGTATTCAGATTACTCCTATTGATGTATTCAGATTCGGGGATAATCAATGATCAGATTCCTAAATGTGTAAATAAATGAGTGTGTTGTCATAGAAACACTCACGTGACACCAGATCATCAACACAACATGTCAGCTGACACAAATAAACGTTACTGGCTTGTTGGCCATCATCTGTGGTAGCTAGCTTAGTTTAGCTTAGCTTAGTTTGGATTAGTTTAGCGTCAGTAACAGCCAGCTAGTTTTTGACGACGTCAAAACCAGACTCGATGCTAATTTCGCCCAGTTGAATATTCTCCCCTTTAGAGGGGCAGCAAACTAGTGGGAAAACGCGAATAAGGACGTTAGCATTGAGGTGTAAAGCCCACTGCTCGCTTCGGCAGAAGTCCAGTACACAAACGGGCTTTCAGTGACCAGGACGAGGCGTTTCACTGCTGCTTGTGGCCGCTGCTGGTCTTTTGCATGAAGAAAAGTGAAACCCACAGTGGATCCGGCCGAGGAAATGCCTGAAGGATTGTTTGCACGTAGTTAGCCGAATGAAAGAACCCAACTCGTATTAGGGTTCGCCCTGCCGGGTGGGCATCTTTCCCGGTACGGAAGCCCACTTTGAGTCGCAGGGGAAGGCGATGGGAAGCCGCACAGAGGCGCGTCCGGAGGTCCGGCCGGTCCCGCTGGACGCGGTACTCACCTCTCCTGGGCTGCGCTCTGGGCGTCTTTCTCTGGGCCATTGCTCCGCGAACCCCCCGATGCAGATGTTCCGATGTGGAGCAACAAGCTAACGTATCTGTATTTACGACAAAACGCACCAGCGACGCGACGCTTTACGTTCACGTTGATGAAATCACGTCACAATCACGTTCACGTCTTCACTTGGATACCAGCAAAGCCAAAGTCCATGGTTACCGTGACAGACTTTGCGTTTGGCCAATCAGAGCCAGAGGAACCGCCCGTGGGCGGGGTTAAAGGGCGGGCTCTCAGGAGCTTTAAACCAATCGGGTCGCTGAATAGCTCCTCAGCGTAAAACACGTGGCACAGTTTTTATGATCGATCATCATCAGGTTTCATCATAGTGAGCAGCTGTATTAATACGTTTAATAACTTAATTTGTGTTCATAATCTACGTTCACGTCTGTGCTCCTTTCTTTTATCACGGGAGTATCCAGGCTGCCCAAATGCATCTTAATACAGCACATTTTTCAGAAATGATTCATTGTATTTATTGTAAAAATAATGAAATCCCTTTGAATAATAACAGTGCCACAAAACTACGTTAATACTATTGTAATATTAATAATATTGTTTTTTTTGGTGTTTGTCATGTTTCCTGCAGCACTCGTTCCTTCCTGCAGGAGGCAGCAAAGCTCCACATACAGACGTTCTGGTGAGGAACCTCCGTTCTGCACCTCCATCCTCTCCTGTCATCGTCTCCTCAGTCCCTCACAGAAGTGTCGTCTTAATAGTACTTTGAATCCGATGAGGCTCCTTTTGGAGACTTTAAACTGGAGAAGATGGACGTCATGTAGTTTTAGTTCAGCTCTCCTTTGTTCTTCTTCTTCTCCTCTTCTTTCCTTCCACGTGTTTTTATTTATTAATGTGGATGTTTCGCTGATAATAAAGTAACAATGACGAGTGTGATAAAGGACGATGTGAAAGACAATGTTGGTTAGTTTACGTCAGAAAGTGTGTGTGTGTGTGTGTGTGTGTGTGTGTGTGTGTGTGTTATCAGTGAGCACCAGCTGGCTCTCTGCTTTGTTTTTAGGTCACTTTTACACCGACTCTCCTTAAATAAGTGTGAAAGCAGCTCCGCTCTCTAAAATAGAAACAATTAGTGGGACATTCCTGCATGTCTCTCTCTCCTTCATTGTTTCTCTTTCTTTCTTTTCTGTCCTTAAGATTTTTTCTCTCTCTATTTTAAATTTAAATAAATGATTTAACAAATGTGTGACAGAACAGAGAAGGAAAAGTATTACAACATATATAATTATTCTATAATAACTGAAGTATATAATATTATTCACTAAAACTAAATTTAAAAAATAATCCGTTGTCTTGTGTCTTGAGTGGTTGTTTTATGTCTCGGTTGTCTTGTGTCTTTGTGGGGTCATTACAATCTTCTTGCGTCACAGCAGCATGAACCATCATGCCTCAAGTCACCTGTGAAATCACAGTGTGTGTGTGTGTGTGTGTGTGTGTGTGTGTGAGTGTGTGTGTGTGTGTGCCTGTGTGTTTGTCCGTGTAGGACGGCACAGATCTTTTCCCTGTCAGCGTGTGTTTTGGCGAGTGGGAACGCGCAACACATTAGGCACAAGTACATGAAAGGAATTTTATTTGGCCCCTTTACCGGCCCCATCCATACGGCAAAAAAAGGCAGACAGACACTAACAAACACAGGCG